TAATGTCAGCACTACTTATTTGTATGAAATGCAAAACATACCTAGATCCTTGCACTTCTCGAGAAGGTTTCTTTGTATGATTGCTGAAACATTTTCACCTACCTTAATTTTCTCCCCTCTTGTAAGCCTTTGCTTCCTCTTCGCTATACACAATTCTTTCAAGAATTTGGCATAGTGAGTGACTTGCTTAATTGCATCCAGTAGTAGAATGTTCACCACGTAATTTTGAAATATTTTATACAAATCGGTATTGCTTTTAAAATTACGAGTGCAAACTAAAGCATCGGGAAAAGGAGAGGGGACTCTACCTTTTAGTGATGGTGAAGACTTACCCGTCGTTTCTTCCTTCTTTTGAGAGGCTTGTTTTGTCACCTCTTTTTCTTCTTCAATGTGATGTTGTATCGGTGTAGTTGGTATCTTCTTTGGTGGTTCTAACTCTTTTTCACTTCACAAGACTACCGCACTCGCATTTTCTTTTGGATTTACCACTGTTTGCGAGGGTAGCTTGCTCAAATTTTGAGCTTCGATTCTCGCCGACGACATTGGCTAATTGGCCCACTTGATGTTCCAAGTTTTGAATGTTATTCTTTGCTTCTTGCTGAAATTTCAAAGTAATAGTAGTTAAGGTTTTGATAATATCTTAAAGAGACATACCCGAATCAAAACTTTGAGTGTGTGGTTGCTATCTAGGTGGGTACTATTGTTTGAATGGCTAAAATTTATTGGTGGGATGATTCATTGGGGCATTGCCATAACGAAGGTTGGGGTGATCCCTCCAGCTCGAGTTGTATGTGTTGGAAAAAAGGTTATAATTTCATTATGGCAATCACGGGAACCCACTCGCGGCATTTACTTGTTAAAGGTTATCATCTTGAAGAGTTGGACACATATCCGTTGCACATCCCACCACCGAATAAATTCCATAAGCCTTTGCTTGTTTCTATTTTTCCTGCTGCCAATTGATGTACAAGAGTAGTAAGGTCATCAAAATGCTTTTCAAGGGAATAAGTACTTACCTCATTTACTCACCGAGTAGCATAGTCGAATCCGGTTCCAAATTGCTCGTGTGTTTAATGCCATATTTGCTATCAAAGTTCTAGCTTCTTCAGGTGTTTTGTCGGCTAAAGCACCACCACTTGCCGCATCAATCATGTTTCGGTCCGATGGCAAAAGTCTTTCATAGAAGTATTGGATGAGCGACTGATTTGTGATTTGATGGTATAGGCGACTTGCACGTAACTTTTTAAAACATTCCTAATATTCATATAACGATTCTTTATTATGCTTGCCTAATGCCACAAATTTCTTTCCTTATGCTCGGCTACTCGAAGTCCGGAAAGAATTTCTTCAAGAATAACCTTTTTATTTCATACCAAGTAGTCATGCTCCCAACAGGTAAGTAGTAGAGCCAATCTTGGGCATCATCCTTCAAAGAGAAAGGGAATGCTCTCGGTTTGATCTCGCTCTTCGATAACTCCATTCGGTTTCATACCCGAACACACCACATGAAACTCTTTCAAGTGTTTGTAAGGATCTTCACCCGCCGATCCTCGAAAGTTAGGCAAAAGATGTACCGACCCGCATTTCAATTCAAAAATAGTGTTGGCGAGCAAAGTTGAGAAAGTTGATGCGGTGAGGTTGCTCGATCCAAATCGGGGCGCAAGCTCAATTAGTGTTTTGTTTGCGACTGCGTTCTCCATGCTTTCAGCAGGTGTGTTTCGTTGCTCCGTTTGTTGCTCTATTTGCTGAGTAATGACGTGGACACGCTGTCGCAAGTATGGCTTTCCTAAGATTTCTTGTTGTGTGTTCTATTTCGGGTCAAATAATAAGTTTTTAGCGCTGCTAGACCTTGTAACGTACATAAACAATCGTGAATTCCTCGACAATGGCACTAAAATTTAGTGTGATGCTATCATGTACACCCAAATTAAGCTCCTAAACTTTTACAACACAAATGTAGTAAGGGAGAGTAGGGATCGATCCCACGAGAAATTCAATCGCGTTAGTCGTCACTAGTCTAGAAGAAACATGAAATAAATAAAAAAAGAGGTTTTGGTTTGATTGAGATATAACCGAAACTAAACAAATTAAATTCGGACAACGAGTTTAAAATAAATATTCAAGTAAACAAACCTTAGCTCGAGTCACATCCACTTTTGGAACTTGAGATTTATCCTTGGTGTAAGAAATATCGGATTCCCATTCAAATATTTGTTGTGATATTGAAATCAATCTTTCCTTACGATTAGTCAACTAGAAACATGTATTCTAATCAACTCTCATTATTTAACAACCCTAGATACGATCTAAGATTTAATCAAACAATGGCTTTATATATTAGAAAGATCAACAAAGCAAGACAACACAACACATCTAGTTGCATTTAATCTAGTTGAACAATCCTTCTAAAAGTCATTAGTTTCGACGCAACAAACCATACACTCCCGGTTGCTACACAAATCAAAGGGATTGAACAATTACGGATTCAATATTTGATCTAGCTATAGATTATCTACGTTAATAAACTAACCGTACACATTAGAAATTACCTTAAATAATCATGAAAATAAGCATAGAGGAAAGTTTAATACTTGAAATAAACAAACCGATTTGCATTAATGTTGAAGCACCTCAAAATCTTTGATTTTCAAAAGCTTGAGTTACCTTCACTAAGGAAAAGGGTTCAACTCGCTCATGGCGACCGTCATAGCATGAGAGAGAGAGAGAGAGAGAGAGAGAGAGAGTAAAGCCGCCTATACTATGAAGAATAATATCCAAAAGTTCCCGCACTAGTCTCGCTAGGTTTCTATTTATACGGGTTGTCTATTTCCCAAAAAAGGTACACAATATTCTCTCCTCTTTTGATAGGCTAACGTCTTTTTTGGAAAATTATAATAAATTTTTTTCCTAATTGAAATCTATTGTTTGTTTCTACGGATTTCAGCGTGTTTGCGTCAAGTTGCAACGTGCCCATGCCTTCATTTCCTTGTGCGTCTATGTCTATCGCATCTACGTGCCTACGCTTTTTGTGCTTTCCGAGTGGTCGAATTGGTTCTAATCATAAATTCTCTTTATATGATTCTTTTAACGCCATTTTTCAATCAGTTCCACATTCTAGCACATAGAATACAAAAATAGTTAAGGTTTATCATTTGGACATCTCAAAATAGTAAAATGTAGGAGAATTTAGCAATTTAAACACATGCCGATCAATAAGCCTATGTATGTTCACATATTGTTCTACATTTCTTAATGGCTAGAATAAGATATGGAATAATCTTTACACATGCCGATCAATTATGCCACTTAAAGATTGTAAAAATTTATTATGTATCAATCGATTTTATTAAGAACTACAGATCAACATCATACAAAATTATGACCAAATAATAGATCAAGAGCAAGCATGATTATAAATGAACTTTTAACAATTTGTAAGAATTTAGTTGTGATCACAAAATAATAATAATAATAATAATAATAATGCATCTCTATGGTAGTCTAAATTTAGTGCAATTTGTTTTCAACATTAAATGTCGACCAACGTTCTTCAATAGGTTAATCAAAGACAAAACTTGTCTAGTTGAGGCACTCTAGGGAGCAAAACATCTAAATGGAAAAAGAAGATGAAAAAAATACACATTTAAAAAAAATTGGAAAATGAAAAAAAAAACTTACACAAACAAGAAAAGCTATACATGAAGTGTGTAGACAAATCAACTCGACAAACATTAAAAAAAAAAAAAAAAAACCATAAAAACAAGTGCTCCCATCACTCTCCAGCCTTGCCAAAAAAAAAAAAAACAATATTGATTAAATAAAACACAATACACATCAAATGTAAAATACCTCAACCATAAAAAAAAATTAAAAAAAATTAAAAAAAGAGAGACTAAAAACAAAAAAGAAGAAAAACCTAACTTGAGAAAGTAAAGCATGAGCATAACAACTAAATTGAGACCATCTATAACCAAGAGAGAGAAACAAAAATACTAAAAACGAAATATACAAAAGAAAAAAATAACCATCAACACACCTAACATAGATACCAAACCAATAGGGAAAAAACATTAAAAGAAAATAAAAATCAAAGAAAACAACTAGACATACAAGCATGCTAGCAAAAAACAAAACAACCGAGACAAAAAAATCAAAACAACTAAAAAACATAACAATTAGTAAAAAGTATACATGAAAGCATCTAAAACAAATAATCGACTAAATAAAAAAGCCTAAAACAGGACTATTTTTAAGAGTTCTAGAAAAATCCTAAAAATAAAAGCACAAAAGACAATATGCAAAGCGAGCGAAGACAACAAAAAATCAAACATCATGCTAAAAAAAAAAAAAGATATAATCGACCAATACAGAGTGTAAGAACAAACAACAAATAGACAATCAACAACAAAAGTTTAAAAAAAAATAAGGAAACACAAAACAAATAGGGTAACATAGAGAGGAAAAACAAACGAAGAACCTATGTGACAAAAAGAAAAACATACAACAAATAGTTTAGCAAAGAATTCACAAAACACTTTTTCGGAAAAACAAATAAAAACACATATTTTTTTATCACATGGTTCATAAAATTAACAAATACAAACCTCGGCTTCCACCGGACAATGCTACTCGATTCATCTCATTTAGGCTACCCACCCACCTTTTTGCATTATCTTAAGAAACACAAAAACAATTTTTTTTTTCAAAATAAGCTAAACAATGCAATAAAAATTGAATCAATCAAAATAAAGTCTAATTTCTAGTCACTCATAATTAGAGATCTAGAGAGAAAGGAAAAAAGAAAAAACAAACCTAAATAAGATTGAGTAGTTTTTTGACGATCAAGAAGCTTGTTGCCCGAACATTCCTTTAACATTAATGCAAATGCATGGCTAACAAAATCACATGCAGCCATTTCTAATTTTACAAAAGATAAAGAATAGTCACGATTAGTGAATTTCAATGTTAAAATAAAAAAATAAAGTAGATCAAATAACAAAATGGTATGATTAATGTGAAATAGATAAATGATTTGATTAGATAGATTTTCTTAGTTTTTTTATTTGATTAGAAAAAGAAATCACAAATATTTGAGATATAGAGGAGAAGTCGAGAAAATTGATAGAAAAATCACATGTCGTCATTTCTAATTCTACGAAAAAAATTGAATAGTCGGGGTTAATGAATCTCGGTGTTAAAATAAAAAAATTAAAGCGAGATGGAATAAGAGAATTGTATGGTTTACTTCAAATAAAGAACTAATTTGATTAGAGAGATGTTCTTACCTTTTTTATTTGATTAGAAAGAGAAATCACAAATATTCAAGATTTAGAAATGGAGAAGTTTAGAAAATTAAAAGACCATTGCTAGATTTGATTCACAGGAAAGAGAAAAATAGTATATGTGAGAAAGAAAGGCACTATAGGTTTTGGTGGATTATAGGTTTTTAGAGATAAAGATTGAAAATGTGGCAGTCATTCATTGATTGTAGAGATTACATTATCTCCAACTAACAAATAAAAATCTAGCAATGAACAACAAATCCAGCGACCAAGAAGAAAGAAGTTATATGCAATAAAGAACTAATGATCTAGACACAACAAAGGAGGCAACACAATACACATGGGTGGTAGTCCATAGTAACTCCGAGTCACAATGAACAACATATGAATAATCAACTATCGAGAGCTTTTTAGTTTTTGTTGTAATGCTTTGATACTAACTAATGTGAATCCCAAAGATAAATACTTTGAGACCAAACAAGTAGACTAGAATTATAGGAACCCAAGAAAGCTAATTAGATTTTAAACACCAAAATCTTGACCCAATGCCTATAAAAAAGGCACAAGCCCAAGCTATAAGAAGGATAGTGACGTCACATTCTAGAAAAGATGAGAATGATAGTGATGATTCTAAAGAACACACAAGAAAGTTAATTCTTGTTAAGTTTGGTAGTTATTGAGAGAACTAAAGGAGAAGAAAATTCTCACTTAATTATCACAAAATAGTCTCCTCTTGTTTTAGAATACAAATGGTATGCCTATTTATGGGCTAGTATGATAATCTTAGGAGAAACTAATAGTCCAAAACATTCAAAAATTCAAGCCTAAAATTCAACAATGCTTTAAACTTTAGCCTAAAATTCATCAACCATAAGTATCGAATAAATTCGCCTCAAAAACCATAAAGTTAGCAGACATAATTTTGATTTTGAATTTAATAACTCATAATTCTGACCTTGAATGTATAAATTCAGCCCTTAACATGCTTGGATGATATTCACCAGACTTTGACTCCTCTCCAAGACCATTTTCATGCTAAACGACCCATTTAAATTGTGAAGAGATCATATTTCTTCAATCAGCCCATTTGTTCTCATTAATTTTGACAACTTTTTCGTCGAATTTGAATTTGTCAGAGATTGTAGGCAATCAACGCATCGCTCGCACTGTACTGTTTGAGTGATGTGTTGTCCATTTGTTTTTTTTTTTCCTAAATTATATTCAGATTTTAGAATGAACTTATATGACATATTATATTACTCTTATTGTTTAAATTTTACTTCTTCAATTTATCATTTCTTGTAAAAATTCTTATTCAATTAATTTTTTTTTGTTTTATATATTTTTATTTTGAACAATATGATTTATTTTTCTCCATGTATAGATTTTAGAATAAAATTCTAAAACATGATTCTTGTCTTTTTTATAATATATTAATATAATTTATATAATGAATTCTTATGATTTTCAAATAAAAGTAGTATAATTGTGTATGGGAGTTTTAAAAGGCTAAAAACCTATGTCAGATCATTTTTTTATTTTTTAGAAAAAAATAAATTTTATAATAATCAATTAAAAATGTACTTCACTTTTTAAATTTGTTTCTTCTTTGTATAATTAAAATTTATTGAAATCAATTTTGTAACTTTGATTTTATTTGAAATATATTCCTTACTACTTCAGTGTTTTTTTTTTAATTTTTTTTTTATAGTATACATTTTGAACCTACTAAATATAATCATAATGTATAAAAATAATAATTAGAACCATTGGTTTTATTAAAAATTAACTATTTATCTACACATATAGCACCAATCATTTGCTATTTTTTAAAATATTATAAAATTAATTTATTTCTAATAAAATAATTGAAATTATATTTTAGAAAAATTATTCAATTATTCAAATATAATTTGTTATACTAATATTATTAATTATTTTATGAATAAATATATATTAATCAAATCTACTTGCTTTCAAAAAACAATCTTCTTTTTAGTATGAAATAAGAATGAGAAGTTATTTTTTTATTTGTTAATTTTTATACAAGTTTTTATATAAATTGTTACTTTATTTTTTTATCAAATCATTAAAAAAATTAAGTTATTTTTTAAAATTTTTGGTTGAATTTTCCATTTGGATTATTGTAAGGTTTTATTTAAAAATTAATGCATAAACAAAAACAAAGCATATTGTTTTAAGTAGAAAATTTATGAAAAAACATAAGAGTTGATTAAAAATTAAATGAATTTATTTATTTTTGTTTTACTATTTTAGTAGACCAGCAACGTGGCATGAGTTATTAAAATTAAATAATTCTTTATACTTTTTCTAACTCGCACTGTAAAACAAACAACAAACTCGTTTTTTTTATCTGAAAAATAGTATGGAAAACCATCCTCTCATCTATCAATGGGGATTTGTCCCTCGCAACCAATATAAGTTTTGGAAACTTGCCTTATCACTAAATAATACTCTAATAGAGTAATCTCTTTTTGTCAGCGATACTGGAAGAAAAGCAGGATAGCGTACGTGAGGCCGACGCGTATGCTCTTATTTATTACGCTTCTGTTCATTTCACTTGCCCCATAAGACGAATACAAAAGATGCCTTGTTTAATTATGCGTTGTATTAACGATGAGATACTCTTCCATCAGGATATATATATATATATATTTTTTTTTTTTAAGATTCTAATTATTTTTCGTGGATATGTCTTGAACTCTCAATTTTTTAGGTGTATAATTTCACACTCACAAGACAGTAGTAGATTTCGAAAATATTGAAAATGCTGAATTTGAGCTCTAAATTGAGTTATTTTCTAATTAAATCTTAGAAAGTGCCCGATAGATTTATGAAAATTATTTTTCTTCCAGATTATCCTCAAATTTAAACTTCTGATGTCAACATAGAAAACAACCTTGCTTGCTGTCTGTGCAAAAAACTTAAAAAGGTATGAATGGGATGCACCATGCAAGGTGTCACGAGGACGATTTCATTAGAAACAAGCGGCAAGCTAACAATCATATTCATCCCAATAAATACAAAGACGAAGGGATAGCACTTGAATAATTTAGTTAATACGAAGCACCATATCCATATGATATTGGGTCAAAGCCTGAGAAGCCTTTAGCAAATATAAGTGAAGGAGAAAGTGATTATAAATAAAGAAACCAAAGAGCTGGTGCATGTGATGTCTAATTGCAGGATGGTCGCCTAAACAATGAACAACCCAAATCCAATAATCTCTTGGTCAATTTATTGTAGCACGTGACTATAGATAAGCTCCTATTCTTGATAAAAACTTATTTCACATGATTGGTTATATCTTGCTTGACGAGTAACTCAACAGACAAGCAACACAGTCACGACTGAAAACCCTTCAGGGGTACGACTCACAGATACCATGCAACGATGCTGTGAATATAGATAAGCTCCAATTGGCACAACCTTGGCTCTTAGCAGTAACTTTTTTGGTATGGTTAAAACTTTAATTTTCACTTCTTGCTGTATAGTAAAAAGTGTTGGGTTGGTGAGAATTTTTTAGAAAGACACCACGATTTATTTTTCCCAACTCCCGAATTTAATGCCAATGTGATTGATTAATGGGCAGGAACCACTAACCAAAGCTAAAATGGTAACCCAAAAGTTGCGTAGAGACGGAAGGTGCAACGCCTTTGTGAACAATGACTTAGTTAGCAATTTTCGGCCTTAGATTAAGCTGCTAGTTACTAGCTAGCTTAGGCTAAAAAGAAAAAGAGAGCACAAAGAATCTGATTACTAGCCAAAACGACAAAAGGCCAGGCAGTCGCAGAGTAGTAAATGCAGCAGCGGTTTTGTTGGACCCAGGCCTGGCACAAGTAGACAATTTGAATCTACAATGTTATTTCACAACACGCATAAATTGGGGTTGCATCAACATCATCACTAACCTTCTCTAATTCCAAGATCATGATTAGACCATAAAAAAGAGAAAGTGTGTGTGTGTGTTAAACTAGACTAGCAGAGAGAAAAGGAGGCAAAAAAAGAGTTTATTTTGGCTTAGAGAAGGGAGAGACGGCGTCTTTACTCTTTTGGTGTGTCTCTACTCTCTCTTGCTTTAAGAAAAGAAAATCTTTTTACTGTTCAGGTTTCCACTTTCCCCACTTCTCTGACCACTAAAGACACCCATTATATCCTGACTCGAGGACCCATAAATAAATCCAAAAACGCCCATAATATTCATGACATCATTAGAGAGTAACCATTTTCTGTTTCTTCGTAATCAATTCAAAAAAAATTGCCAAGGGGACAAGCCAAGCATATAATGCAGCTGCTACTAATTCTGCTGCTACTGATTTCAAAAGATCAATAGATAATACAAAGATTGCTAATAATCCTTTTGCATGCATACAGAATAGTAGTGACTAGCAAGTACTGATGGGATTAAGTAGCCCATTAAGCTTATCCACTGACCAAAAATTCCTCTAAAATAAGGCATATTTACAAAGGGAACAAGTTCATAAAATTAAAAGAGGGATTGATAACTGATGACTCATTTCCTAGTCCTGCTGCTCATTTCAGAAATCATCATTTTCTCTACAGAAACCTCAAAAGATCATCATTAATATCTGATCAATCACTCTCATTTTCCCGCCTTTTTTGGGTCTACAGAAGAGCCTTTCCCTTCATGATCTGATGACTTCCTTGACGATATTTCCATTGATTTCTCTTGAGAAGGATCGCTCACCGACCTTGATAACACAGAGGAATCAGAATCTGCAAAACCCAACCAAACAATCAAAAACAAAAATAAAAATTAGTTAACTACAGGACACGGTGTTTGGTAAAAGTAATTAAGAGTAATTAATTAAATTAATGACTATTACCTCGAGAAGCATTGAATGATCTCTTGCAATGAAGAATAGCACTCTGGATCCCATCCTGTTGCTGCAACAGCGAATCATCTCTCCTATTTGACAAAACAGGACCCGGAGGGGCCGCCGCCACCGCTGCCGACGAAGCTGATCTGCTTTTCCCTAAATGCTTACATACAACCCTCAGACCAGCAGGCAAATTCCCCTGTTTAAGGCCCTTAAGATTGGTTACGGCCACCGCAGGAGCTTCCATGCTTTCCGTCTCCTTTTCACCCTTATCAGCCGTTGTTTTCTGGGTCACCGTGGATGATGGCGGAGCAGCCGGTATTTTTAGCCCAGAGCCTAAACTTAATTGACCGGAGAATTTTAGCTTATCTACATAACGTTTAGAGACACGGATATAAAGAGGCTTAACTTTCTTTAAGTACTTCTGCATTACATCTTTTGAAAATTTCTGCCTCTCATCTGAAGAAGCAGCGCCAGCAGCTGAAGCAGTTGATTCTTCTGTAGAATTCTGCTTCTGCTGCGATGACTTGATACTTTTGCTATTCTCTCTAGTAAACAAAGACATCATAGGAACTTCCTCAACCTTAAATTTCACAGTAAAAAACTTACTTTGCTTGCCATTTTCCTCATCTTTCTCCCCATGTTGTTTGGGAGTAGCAGAAGCTAATGTCGGCACGTTAGCTTCTGTCTTTTCATTTGTTGTTGCAGTGTTTGGTTTCTTCTTTAATCCCAACATGAACACACGAAATTTTGTAGCAGATTTTAACAAAGACACCGAAAACTGTGAGGATTTTGAGTTTGGCTCGACCGAAGATGACTCAATTGGCACAAGCCTGCCTTTGAAAAACAAATCATCAGGTGGAGAAAGAGCAAGATTTTGATCCCTCCTGTCATTGCTAGAAGCCGAAGAGAGAGTGAAATTAAACTCCCTCTCTTCGTCCATGCCATCATCATCATCATCATCCTCATCCTCATCAGAAGTGTCAGCAGCATCGTTTTCCTCTTCAGAATCGACCCCATTATTTTCTTTCCTCTCTTCATTGCCATCCCCTCCTTCCTCTTCTTCATCAGGAACTGCAAACTCCAAGTCAAAAAAAGGCCCGTCATCGTCATCATTCTCATCATCAGTTTCCGCTCTGTTTGGAGACACTGCAGTGACAATTGTGGTGGCGCGTGTGTTATAGTCACCATCTCTACCGCACCCACCAGCACCAACAGGAATACCACCGCCGCCTCTCCAGTACTTGAGCAAGCTGAAAGCTTCCATTGTTGGGAGAGCCAGTATAACCTCAGGAAATAAATTAAAGTACTTCAGGGAAATAAATGAAGGAGTGAGCCTTGTCTTAAAAGGTAGGGAGAGGGGAAATGAGGGAAAAAAAGATGGGATCTTTTCGAGTGAATGAATGAGGGGGGTAGCTTAGGTGAATGGGAGTTGCAGAATAGTACCTGAAAATAGGGTGGCAGGGTGACAGAGAGGGGTAAGCTTTTTTACCACGACAGAAAGAGAGAGGAAAAGGGGAAGAGGGGTTGGCTTTTATTTTGTCTTCATTTGTTAGGGTGTTGCAGGTTAGTCATGTGAGACCAGTCCGAGAGTCAGAAATTGTAGAGGGTAGGAGATAGGGTTGTTCAGAAATGTAGAGATGAAAGGTACAGTTATGTTGAGTGTACGTATACTGTATAATAAATGGTGGTACCTAGTACTTTAATTAGCTAAAACTCATTTGTGGTCCATCTAGTTTTCACATTCGGTCAAATCAGATCCTCTATTCTAAGGTGGGTCAAACCAACACCTCTGCTTCCCATTGAAACACAGCATGAGATCTTCCAATGACACCATTTTACATCATAAAAATTTGTTATTCATGTGGAATGATTTCAAGCCCGAAACTTAACACAAGAACAGTTGTACAATCTGAAGGTCCATTCTTAGGGTTTGTAGATGATATATTAAGTTTGATTTGTTGTCCTCGTAATTTAAATTATTATTATTATTATTATGTTTTTCATAAGTTGATATTTGGTATAGGTATGAAAAAGGAAATTAGATAAAGCGGTTGAATTTTCGTAAATTAGAAATGAAAGGGTTAATTTGATCCAATTTAAAGTTTAGGATTTGATTTGACCAAATGTAAAAAGTAATTTGCTCCAGTTATTTTAATTGTTCACCACCATTTCTTTTATGTTTGGTAGCTGATAAGGTAATTTGATTGGTGAATTCAGATCTGTTGTCTTTATATATGTTGTTGTGTGTCTAGATGCATGTGTGTGACCATTGCCATTTGTTCAAGTCCAACTAAACTCAGTAAACGAAGCACATTTTGACGTGGAACTTGGCTATCCAGTTATCTCAACTTTTAACGTTGTTCCTATATAATCACTGATTATCTTTATCGATCCCTTTTGGGGTTTTTTTTTTTTTTTTTTTGGTTTGATCAAATCACTACCTTCTAGTTGGCTATCAACTCATGCAATATTATCCATATCTTTGGCAGTCATCGTGAAAATACAGCACTATGATTTTTTATTTAGTTGAAAATGGAGATGATGATGATGGAGGGAAAAAAGAAAACAAAAACAAAAACTGGAGCCGCTAGTCTCCAGTTATGCAGTATAGAATAAGTTGGAATAGTACTATAACACGTGTGATGGTGATATTCGGACCCTTTCGTTACTCTTACGTATTGACAACCTTCGACTTCTAAAATGGTGATGGATGGCTTCAGACATCTCTTTCACTTATCCCACAATAACTAATTAGAATTGATCTGAAATTGATTTTTCTCAAATAGTGGTGACATAATTTCTAGCTGATCGGAGTGATTTTTATCATTAGTAGACTGACCAGTTTTGGTGATTATGTGTGTTACTTGATGCAGTGGGATCGCCAAGTTATACGTATTTAGTAAAAGATACAACAAGGACCACTTGAAGAGCAAGAGAATGAAAAATTGGCTTATGGGCGACGCTTTTACTCTTGAATATTTTGTAACCTTCTAGTTTTGAGAGAAAATTGGTTCAACCTGCAAAAATGCAGTAGCCTTGAACTGTATCCTCAACAATCTTGTTCTTTTTCTTGACCTCTTCATCTCTTATCAATTCAACTGCTATTATTTTGGTATTCTATTCAACCAAGGAGAGGCTCCCGTTACATAGATGCATTAAAACTCTTCTTCCATCTCGTTTTAAGGTCTTTCTCACCTCTTAAATCAGCCCCTATCCAATAGAATTACAAGTCTAAATTTTCTTTAAAATAAAACATGGACGAACCTTACAATTTTTATTAAATAAAAAATAAAAGTACCTATAACCTAAATATGGAAGGACAAGAAAATCTAAATTTTATAATAACCAGAATACAAAAAATATTATATCCTATAGCTGTAAAATCAAATCTATCATGCGCACAAATAAGTTTATCTAAAGCTAAATCACTCAAAATAAAAAAATAAAAAAAAAAACTCTTTTTTTCTATTATTATAAGCTAGATTAACTAATCTGTGAGTCACAATTTCTACTGACGTTACTAAAAATATGTCTGTTTTTCATAACCTGATATTATATGAATTAATGAATATACTGTCAAAGGCTGCTGTTATTTATTTACAGATTGTTAAAGCGACTCCATGCATGATGTGTAAAAAAAAAATCTTATCCTGGACAGGTTCTGATCAAAAAGTCAAACCAACTAAATGTACATGGTCAAGACAATTAAAAAAAACATCACCCATTTTAATGAAATGGCTGGATTTATGTATATGGTCCTAAGAAAATATTTAACAGTTTTTTTTTTCCATATACAGGACCTTGCATTACACAATTAATGGTAGAGTTAGTAGTTGGCAATTCTATAAATTTTTTATAAGTGCAAAAGGCTTTAATGTCACAAAATCAAAAATCTATCGATAATAACACAGTACATAATCCATAAGTATATATAAAAACACCAAATTTGCAAAATCTTTTCATAAACTGTTATATCATTGGTACATCATTTACATTACATACTTCTAGATGTTAATATGTAATTCCATCGCTTCTTCTAATTAAAAAAAAATACAAACACGATGAAAAATCTTATAAAAAGAAAAAAAAACAAACATGGACGCATAACCCGCAAGTAAAGCAAAATTTTTGTTCATTGTGCCAGGTTTTTTGGTTATCTGTAACTAATGAGTTTCTTATGAGAATAAATAAAGGATAAGGGTGGCAAAAATCTAATATTAACCCGACCGTTGTCATCTTTCTTTTGTATTTTTACCAGTACATTGTATAGTATACAAATTATATTGCATTAATTCATACTCATTGCAAGATATTTAGCATATAACCAAGAAAGAAAGCGTTTTAGTGACAATAAAAAAAGAAAAAAGGGTTTAATACATCCGACCCGTATCTTTACATTTTAGCGAAATTATTATTACAACCCTTATACCCGGATGTAGTTCATAATCACCCTTATATTATTAGAAATTGATATAAAATAACCCTTTTGTTATTTTTTTTTTTATTAGTTGACTTACGAATGACTAATATAATATCAACACATGTCAATTTGAGGGTGAAACGTAATTTTGTTTTTTTTTTCTGACTTTGTTTTAAGTTAAGATCATTTAACATAATTTAAAAAAGATATTAAATTGAAAAAAAAAAAAAGATAAAAAAACAATTCAACTAACCGGAACAACCTCCCTATAGGGATCAAATATTCACTAAACATGGATAGTGGTGGTGTTGCTGAGGGCAAATTGGACAGGGGTGGTGCTACTGAGTTTGAAGCAAAAGATCTCCTGCTTGACATGCTAAAACAAGTAATGACAATCGAGGACGAGGAAAGGTTACACCTAGAGAAATTGCAAGAAAGGGTCTGTGATGTCTTGATTTGCAAAAGGTACTTAATAATGGGATGATGCTTAGGCTTTTGATGCATGTAGCTGTCTAAAGAATGCTTTCACAAATTCACTAAACGGAAGTAGAGTGATTCTTATTGTCAACCACATAGAAATAAAAGATATAATTGATGATGTTGGGAAGTTCTCTCTTGAGGTAAGGCAGAAAGTTGGACATTGTTCTTGAAGAGAGTACAAAAAAATAAGAGCTCAAAAGATTCAGAATTGAAGAATCAAATCGCTAGGAAATGCCATGGTCTGCCTTCTGCATTAGTTATTCTCAAAGGTTTATTGTCTGTCAAAGAATCAAGCAGCTGGTCAAAAGTAATTGAGCGTGTAGATTTCAGTGATGACCATTCCAAAGTTGTCTTGGCTTTGACATATAAGGATCTTCAATCCGCCTTGAAGTCCTATCTTCTATATTAAGGTCTTTTTCCCAAAGAATATGTGATCCCTATAAGGATATTGTTTAGGTTAGTTGAATTATTTTTTATCTTTTTTTTTTCAATTTAAAATCCTTTTTAAATTATTTTAAATGATCTTAACTTAAAACAAAGTTAGGAAAAACAAAATTAAAATAAAATTATGTTTTGACGCTCAAATTGACAAGTGTCAATATTGCATTGGTCATTTGTAGGTCAATTAACGAAAATAAATCAAACTAACATAAAAAAGGTAATGAAGGGGTTATTTTACACTAACTTTCAAGAGTAGAAACTCGCTTATGAACTATATCTATATACAGGAGGTGTGACGATACATTGTATAGTATACAAATTATATTGCATTAATTCATACTTATTGCAAGATATTTAGCATATCACCAAGAAAGCAAGCATTTTAGTGACAATAAACAAGAAAAAAAAAGGGTTTAATACACCTCATACCCCTATACTTTAATAAAATTATCGTCACAACTCCCGTACCCGGATATAGCTCATAACCATAGTTTTAAATAGTAGTCGCAGTTGAAAAAACGATTGCGATCGTAATTATGGATCGTGGTTTATTGTGGTTGTAAAATAATGGTTGTAATAACCGATGTGTGAATACATTAACAACTCGTTAATAAATTTATTCTAATTTGTGCATTTTTAATAATTTTATTAATTAAACATACTAATAAGTAATAACATTTCTCATAGTTTAATATCATACAACATTAGTTGAATTTATTTAAAAAAAATAGTTAATAACATTTATAATAGATTAATATCACACAAAAAATTATAAAGTTAATTTGAGTTGAGAATTATCTTTATGAATCATCTACTTTTCAAAAAAATATTTAAAATGTTTTATGTGGTTTGTTAGAAACTATGAAGTTTAAAATAAATTAAGACTTGAGAGAGAGTTCAATGTTCAAAGTTGATCTCTAATAATTTTATGAAGACACAAATGAAGTTGAAAATGACATGATATTTTAACTTGGGAAAGGATTTTTTTTTTTTTTCCTTTCATCATTTGATCACATGCAATCAAATTCAAAGGCTGCAACTTGGTGAGGGAGTAAATTATCATTAGTTCTTTTAGTTTTGATAAATAAATTAATTAGTCTTTTATTTTTCAAAAATTAACTATTTAATCTTTTTATCAATATTAATCATGTTTAATGTAATATAGTTTATTTCACAAATGTTTTATTTTTTCATTAATCTTTTCATGATGTAAATTTACTTTTTTATTTTTTCTAATTTTTTTTTTAAAAAGGAAAAAAATAAAAAAAAATATGACTAAATAATTAGTTTTCGAATAAGAAAGACTAACTACTTTACTTTTCCAAACTAAAGGGACTAATTTGTAATTTAATCAATTAAAGCCTCGCATTTGCAAGCTTTTGAATTTTGTTGCACTTGCAAGACGAAACTTAAAGTAAATTATACATTAGTCTTTCTAGTTTTGATAAATGTATTAATTAATTCTTATTGTTTCAAAAACTAATTATTTAATTTTTTTTATCAATATTGACCATGTCTAATGCAATATATTTTATTTTATAATAAAATATTTTCTTTTCTTCATCAATCTTTTCATGATATAAATTTATTTTTTTTATTTTTTTCAAAAAAAATTAGAAGATAAAATGAACAAAAATAACTAAATAATTTATTTTTGAAATAAAAAAATTTAACTAATTTATTTTACAAAAATAAAAGGACTAATTTAATATTTTCCAAGATAAAATGTATTTGATTCTATCCTAACCTATTAAGTAAGTACAAAGAGTTGCAACTTCACATGAAGAAAGAGCATGATATAACTTATAATTCAATAACCACTTTTGATCATCATAAAATAGAACAAATCAAGCGGTGACATTCTCCCTTATATTCATCTAAAATTTGTTTCAACCTCAACGAAAAAAAATAAAAAGCTTAATAAAAGAAAGAAGCTCTCTCTCTCTCTCTCTCTCTCTCTCTCTCTCTCTCTTTCTCACACACACACACACACACACACTCTCTCTCTCTCTCTCTCTCTCTTTCTCTCTCGTAACCCTCCAAGAAAACAAGAAAGAGACTTTGGAGAAAACTTAACTTCTAATGGAATCCGGGTTTTCGGTAATCCTCCAAGAAAACAAAAGGAGATTCTTGCGAAACCTCAACTTCTAATGGCATATGGGTTTTCAGTGACCTTTCAAGAAAACAAGTAAGGGATTCTAACATCTAATGGCATCCGGGTTTTCGAGTGGCGACGGAGGCAACATATGTGGCGTGGATTGAGTCAAGAGACTCTTGGTCTTTGCCTCTCTGCTTATATGGCCGAAATGGCTGAATTTTTTTTTAATATGTATAATGTCGTTATGTAATGACAAATAATAGTGTTACATAACAATAATGCCATATTTGTCGTTATATATGTGAACCGGCTTTGGGGCACTCATAATGCTCGAATAACGATAGCAGGGTATCCCGAAACCGTTATATAACCGTTTTTAAAATTATATTCATAATCGACCTTATATTATTGAAAGTTTGTGTAAAATAACTCCTCCTTTATCTTTTTTTGTTAGTTGACTTACGAATGACCAATATAATGTCGACATTTATCAATTTAAAGGTAAAAATATAATTTTATTTTTTTTGGATTTTTTTTTAAGTTAAGATCACTTAAAATATTAAAATAATTTAAAAGGATTTTAAGTTGAAAAAAAAGATAAAAAACAATTCAACTAACCGTAATAACCTTCGTATACGGATCAAATTTTCACTAAATGTGGGTAATTATGGTAACGTTGAGGGCAATGTGGGCAATGGTGGTGGTGGTTAGTTTGAAGCAAAAGATCTCCCGGTTGACATGCAAAAACAAGTAATGACAATTAAGGACAAAGAGCGGTTCCCCTAGAGAAATTGCAATAAAGGGTTCGTGATGTATTGATTCACAAAAGGTACTTGATAGTCTTGGATGATGTTTAGGCTTTTAACGCATGGAGTCACCTCAAGAATGCTTTCACGATTTCACTAAATGGAAGTAAAGTGATTCTTACTATCCATGACAAAGAAATAATAGAAACAATTGATGATGTTAGGAAGTTCTCTCTTGAGCTAAGGTAGCTAACAAGTGATGAAAGTTGGACATTGTTCTTAAAAAGAGTACGAACATATGAGAGCTCAATAGATCCGAATTGAAGAATCAAATTGCTGGGAAATACCACGATCTACCTCTTACAATAGTCGTTTTGGAAGGTTTATTGTCTACCAAAGAATCAAGCAACTAATCAAAAGTAATCGAGCGTGCGATTTCGCCGATGACCTTTCCAAAGTTGTCTTGGCTTTAGCCTATCAAGATCTTCCACTCACCTTGAAGCCCCGCCTTCTATATTGAGTCTTTTCCCCAAATAACGTGTGATCCCTATATGAGGTTGTTTGGGTTAGTTGAATTGTTTTTTATCCTTTTTTTTCAATGTAAAATCCTTTTTAAATTATTTTAAATGATCTTAACTTAAAAAAAAGTCAAAAAAAATAAAATTATATTTTCACTCTTAAATTGATAGATGTCAATATTATATTGGTCATTTGTAAATAAACTAACGAAGTTAATCTAACTAACAAAAAAAAAGATAACGGAAGGGTTATTTTACATTAGGAATGGCAATGGGGCGAAACGAGGGCGGGGATGGCCATTCTCACCCTCTCTCCGTCCCGTGACCCACACGGGGCAATATTTCCCCTACCATCCCCATCTCTCGCAAGCATCGAGGATCCGCGCGAGGCACTAATTCCTTGCGCCCTCCCCGCTCCATTCTACCTCATATCATCATATAACAAATTTTAAACTATAGCAAAGAGATAACAGTTCATATAAAAAATACAGCTTAAGAAAGATAATCATTTAACATCATATTCAAATACAAGTTTACAACACAACTCATAATATATTAAATTGTTTTCAATCCAATAAATAACATACTTAATTAAATTGATGAAGTATTACAAATGCAATTAAAAAACATATATCTTTGAATGTCTTTACTCGCTTAAATATTATCAAAACTCACTCATTATATTAGAGATTAGTTTGTAGCCTTAGAATTTATTTACATTTTTTGTACAATTGTAATTTTCAAAGGAAAGGACGGGAGGGAGCGGGACGAGTAGGGCAAATTGTCATTCTTATTTTACATCAACTTCCAATAATATAAAATCGATTATGAACTATATGTAAGCAATAGGTCTGATTAGAGTTGATTTGTATTGTATTATGCCAGCATGAATCTACAGGATTTAGAGTCGTTTAGTTTAGTTTATATATATATATATTGTTCTTCATATCCATAATTAGAGGTAATGAAAATTTCAGTATATGTACTTATATTAATGTTCTAATCAAGTCTTGTTTTAATTTTTTAATTAAAGTGTTTCTATCTTCGGTTTTTTTCTCCAATTAAGTGTTCTTATTTTTTATTTTTTTATTTAATTGTTCTAAGAATAAAAAATTTAAATCAACCCTAATATATATCAAACATGGGATATTGACAGTTTTTTTTTTTTTTTTTGGGAGTAAAGAAAACCTAGTCATCACTCCAATTATATAAAAACATATCATTTTATCATCTCGTCACCATTAAGGGAAGGTAAAATCAGGAGATACAATCATTTTTCTCTCTCCTTCCTTTTCTTTTGAAAATAATGACATGATTAACTAAGATAATATGTCCTTATATAATTTTGTTTTTATATGGTTTAAAACTGCAAATCAAATTCATATAATAATTTATTTTTTGTTACGATGTAACAGGACAACTTTGCATTCATAAACATGTGACGGATAGTGTGGTGACCTTTTTTTTCTTCCCATCAAATGGACAATGGTTTCAAGACCTTAAACATCCTGTTCACTTGTATATCCCACAGTAATGAATATTTAATAAGAATAAGAAAAGCCCTAGATCTCAGCCAATGATCAGAGCAATTTTATTCATTAATAGACATGTAAAGATAAATAAATAAATAAATAAATAATCTTTAACAGACATATGAGTTTCGGAGATTACGTGGAGGATAAGCAAACACTTTTTTTTATTATTATTCTTAATAAGAGTATTTTTAGATTAATTTATGTGTCAATTGAAATTAAATTTATTTTTTAATAAACTTAAAATCATACACTCATATAGGATTAATAAATTTAGAAGAATTTAATAAAATTTTTTAATTGAATCCAAAAATTCGAAAAAGAAAATAAGTATAATTGACCAGCAAACCAACTCTTTGAAATTTTAAGGGATACGAACTCAATCAGTAGAAGCTCTAACAAGGACCACTTAAAAGAACATAAAATTGAAAGGATAAAAAAAGAGCTCAGTAGTCAGTGGCTAGGCTTTAGTACCCTTGAAGATCTGGCACCCTTCTAAGTTTAATAAAGGGGATTGAGGTGGAACTATTCTTGCTATCGTTTATCCTCCTTTTTACGGAACTAAAGTCGGGTGTTAGATTAGAGCAATGAGACACACCCATGACATAATTCAGAAACAGTTGAAATATCCAGGAATTGGGGAGAAAAGTAAAAGGCAAAAAGTGCCTAGTGAAAAGAAAACGTAAAGGAAAGCAAGTTTGCCCGACCAGTACTCTTCCTGCTCTGCCCTGGAGCCGGGGTCTAGGCCTGGACCTTCTAGGAACATTATTTTATGCTACGAAAAGGACTCCGCGCCAGCTCCAACCCACTTTAACCCTTATCGGCTATACGACCATATGCAACCCACACGGCACTCATGCAAGTAGGGGACACATAACCATTTTGAACTGTCTTCTTTCTAAGAAAAAATTTGACCACCTTCTTTGGCTTTTTTTTGGTAAGCAATTTTCAACTTTTCCATTCTTTAAAAAATGCAAAATGAAAAAAAAATTCTAACATTTCCTATTTAAAAAGTGTTTTGCCACACTCCAATCAGTTATCCACGTTTAAATAAAAAGTAAACATGAGATAATGAAAATGCTATTAAATATTTTGAAAACATTAACATGCCTTTTTCCAATTTACTCCCTACATCATTAGTCTATGTTATGCTGAAAATTTAATTTTACTCCTTGTAAATTAAATTTTGGAAGAAAATAATTAATGAAAAATATGTACAACAATTAAGAATATAAAACAAATCAATAACAATAGTACAATTACAAAAATACTAAATTTATATGAAAAAAATTTATATCATAAAAGAAAAAATTACACAACCACTTTTGAAATAACAAACTAAACTCAAGAAAGCAATACAATTATTTAAATTTATCCATAAACTTGATAAACAAAAATATTAACAAGTAATATAGTCTCTCTAACTAAATCTATCTTATCACAAAAAACTTAAAATCTAAAAATATTTTATATATCTATAAAGTTTAATGTCTTGTGAGATTATCACTTAAAACATTACAATTTTCGGTAATTGAAGTACCCAAAAATCAATGTTAAAAAAATCAATATTTACTACACAAAATCCTTGCCTTCTTTTATGTTGTGCCAACCGGAGGGAAAAAAACAACCTTTTATGTTTTTTCTCCTAAGTTCTTCGTGGAAGCACAAGCACGTAAAAGAATTATATATATATATATATCGGTCAATAAAAAGAAAGAAGCCTTTTCTTTCTTCTTTCTTTGTATAATTGTCCAACGCAGCTTTTAGTCCTTTTGTTTCTTTTTCTCTTTTTATTAATTCTAGTCTTTTTTTTTCTATTTAATCTATGTCCTATTTAATTTCTTAATGAGTTATGCTAAAGTCATTCATAGGTTGTACCTATGACATACAACTAACAAACATTCCTCTCTAGCTTATGAAGAAAACATCTCAACTCCTTATCTAGAGTTCATATCCGTCATACT